TGATTTTTTTTTCTACTTTCTTTTTTTTTCTATGATTTGTAGAGACATTAGGTTAATTGGAAAAAGGCGGAGGATGAAAAATCAACAACCGTCTTCGCCGGGAATCGAACCACGGACCTCTGGAATACCGGCCCAGTGTGCTGACCACTACACCACGAAGGCATGCTAGGAAGGCGGGAGAAATACCTTATACACTCCCCCTTTTAAAGGGCGACTGGGGTTTCTAGAGGACCCAATCGCCGAATCCTGGGTGGGGAGAAATCATCATCCACCACCCTTTTAGTTCGGGCGCCACTGTAGATACATTAGTTCCCCTCCCCCGGGAGTTGACTCAGGCGCATTCAAAGTACTGGTTAGGATCTGTATCTAGGCAGTCTCAACCACGGGGGCATAAAAACAGACTTCACAGAAGGCTTGAGGGCTCTCAGGACAGAGTAAGGCCACAGCCAACTGGAAGAACATGGCCTGGTTAGCTACACAGTGACGTTAAGGAATGCGTCTGAGTCAAAACGCTCTTTGTCTGAGTCTTCCGCGACTTTGCTTTGGGTCTGAATGTGCGCGTTTCGTTAAATGTTTAGATTCTTTTGTTTTAAATAATGCACAGTAATTAATTTTTCAGACAGTACGGAAAAATGTCTATGAAAGGTCGTTTATACATTTATAGTTAAGACTGATAGCTTTATAGGTATATTTTAAGAAATATTCATGAAAATTTCTATCCAGTGTTTTACGATATTTTGTACAATTATTTTTATACTGCATAGTAATGACATTTAAAGGATTTGCTGAAAAACAAAGTTTTAAAATAAATAAAAAAATAAATAAAGATTGCTATTTATAACCATAAATAAATCTTTACAGTTTGATTGTTCTTATTTCCACTAAATACTAAAATAAAATTCTTTAATAAATTTTCCGAAAAATATATTTACAAAATTTATTGTTGATTTCACTGATTCCAAATTTTGCAGGTTTATTTTCGTAGATGTGAAGGAAAAGGGAAGGAAAGGAATGAAAGGATTCCAAAGTATAATAATAAACCGACAAAATATAACGATTTTTTATTGTCTTATCAAATATAATTATTTATTAATAATTACTGCTGTTTTTAATTTTAAGAATAACTTTAATGAATGATCAGTAATATATCCAATGCTTTACTGCAGAACTTTCAAAAAGTATGTAAATGTACTTTTTATTAATTTCAGTTATTATCTAAGGAAAAAATCAGATCAAAAGTCGCAGAAAAATTAAAATTTCCTAAAATCCTCTTGGCATTTGCCAACATAAATTAAATAAAGCTTAATTTTGGGTTACATTACAGCAAGAGAATTATTACTAATATAATGATAGTTTTATATTCTGATAATAAAAAAAAAGTCATAAAAGACTGAACGGATGGTTACTTCAAAACTTTCAAGAGTCTTAGGAAAGCCAATTATTATTATTATTATTATTATTTTTTTTTAACCTTTCTATGTCACCTTTTTCACTCGAACCTCATCAATATACAAATTCACGACTTGTTCATGTCCCAGTAATTTTTTAACTTTAGCTTTTACATGCTTCCAGTTAGCTTCATTGTTCGTTGATGCATCAAGCTTTAACAGGCCTAGGATTTTTCAGAAATGATCAATCCATGGTTAAGCGGATTAAATGGCTGTTGTAGAGGCAACTATAACAAGCCGCTTACCTAATGCATAACGATTTGATTTGACTTAGTTTATTATAGCAAAACACGCTAGGGCTATCTGTCTGAGGGATGCCTTTGCGGAGAACTATCTAAGATTACAGGAAATGATACTGCACATAGAACACTGGTGTACGAAATGGAGGATCGCCATTAATGCTTCATAGTCGAATCTTCTTATTATTATCAGTAAAAGAACTTCCAGAACACCGATCGATGTCAAACTCACGCTATTTAACACGGAAATTCCTATTGTGAAGAAAGCAAACTATCTTGGAGTTATCTTGAATCACAAATTCACCTGGACGGAGCACATTAAAAACGTCAGGAGAAAATCTATTGCTGTAATGAAAAATCTCATGTCTCTACTAGGTAAATTCTCCAAACTGGATTTACTGCGTAAAAGACAGCTTTATACGGCTATAGTCCGTCCAATCTTTACGTATGCCTCCCCTGCTTGGGCGGTAATTTCTAATAAAGATTTGAATGGGCTTCAAATAATACAAAATAAGTTTCAGACTTATTACGAACGCCCACTTCTATGTTTCAAATGACACGCTTCACCGTGACCTTAAAATTGAAAGAGTCAAGACTTTTCTCTACAAAGTTAATGAAAATTTCCTTAAACTGCCCGCACATGGAAAATTTCAAAGTTTTCGACTACATCATACTCACAGAAGATCGAAATATCAGGCCATTTGCAGCCTACGTTTGCGATTCCAACTTCCCTACGTAGTTGATGCAACTTGTATATAGTGTACATATGCTTTTTATCATATTTTCTCTGTATTATGTATTTAATTGTACTATGCATTTTGTATTCGTATCTTATTATGTTCTATCTGCTTACCTCACAAGCAGTCATGACGTGCTTCACACCAACACTTGGCTCTCCTGGTCTGCAGCTTTAGCTTGGATTTGGTTTTTCTGCCTTGTGACAGGTGGTCACCCCTTTCTCTTACCATTTTAGACCTCTACTTCATCGGTTCGGACTCTTCCACACCAGGGGACCTTCGGGCATATGTGTCAGAAGCAGGAAACATCGCGAGTCTTCAAGGATAGTCCGGCAATATCGGTATGGACTGGACTGGACGAGGTTGCATTAGGTCAGGAGCCGTCTCGTTCAAATAGCGTTGTAGATACATTAGGATTTTTTTTAGAGCAAGAGAGATGAAAATTTAGCAACGCCTTCGCCGGAAATCGAACCACTACACCATGAAGGCACGCTACGAAGGCTGTAGAAATACCTTATAAATTCATTGCTGGGGATATTTCTCGCGTTTTCCATTGTTTACTGAACATGAAAAGTAAGCTGCTTTGGTATAGAACTTTGAATAATATGTATAAAAGAACTTTTTAAATTATACGGTTTTAATCAAAAAATTCCGTAAAAGATAACGAAAAATATGTTTTTAGCTATCATGATATTCTTAGACGTTTATGACTAAAAATAAAATCGCATGTCACTCATATACGAATTCCATAAGAACGTTAACAGAATTTCAGTCAACATTAATAGTGCAGAAATTACGTAAAAATGGTAGGAACACAGCCATTCTATTTTTAATCACTTATGATCAAGATTATTACGATAGCCAAAAAATAGTTTTTGACTTATGGTGCATTTGGATTAAAATTGTGCAAATTGAAACATTTTTCATGTATTTCATTTCTTACTTTTTAGCCTATAGAAAATGGAAAAGACATAAAGAAAGAAATTCATTACCTCTGAAAGTAGAAACATTTTTTGTTCCAGTCGGTTTTAAGATTAAGTTCAATGCATTTAAATTTCTGTTTTATTTCGAAATATGATTCATCATTACTTAAATTTATGAGCTTGCTAATAACGAAAGATTAACTTTTTCAATTTAGGATTTACACGGTAGTTAGAAAATAGAAAAATTCAACATCGTAAATTTCGCAAAATAGCGTTATAGAAATTTCATAATTCTTTATTTAGAAGAGTATTTTTCGGACTATCCGGTAGTATAAATATGAAAATTCTGAGATAATTAATTTGACTATTGAATAAGGATAGAAAATTTTATATAGAGTGTTAGAAATATTCATCGTTCAGTAAAAAATATTTTTATCTAATTTAAAAGAAATTTCCTGTTGAATATTGTAATGTCATCGGAAATACATATGCATGAAAACTTTTTTAAAAACATTGCATAGGTGAAAAGGTGCCAAAAATATTAGTTTCCAGATCTGGTCCAAACAGGAAAAAAAGAAAAAACAGAAACAGAGAAACAAAAATCATGTTAAACAAACCCACATAAAACAGAAAAATAACTTTTTAGGCATTAAATACTTTCTTTTGCATTTATAATTATTTGACACTAGAAATTGCTTTAACCTGGTAATACCGATTTAAGTGGTAAATCTAAATTGTCTTGGTTTAACTGTATGATTCAAAGCATTACCCTGGTTACTGGTATTAATGGCTATCATAATGACTTCGTCACGCAGTTTCGCTATTCTTTAGTATTGCAAGTTAATGCAGACAAATAAAATGCTAAGAACTTGTGAGTTAATTTATGAAAGACATTTTCAATTCTAAGTTATTTTCAGTTCAATCTTGGCCACTGAATTTCATTATCATTAGTTATTGAATCATCATGTTCTTTGGTTACGCTTAAAAAACTAGCACAAAATGCATATTTATCAAAAAGGAACACTCCGCGTCATCTCTCATTTGATTTTGTTTTCTAATCCTAAATTAAAAATTTTAGGGCACATTAATTTGTAACAACTATATGAGAAATCTTCATACGGGTACTATGACTAACTTCTGTTAATTACGTCATTAATATAAAGATTTAAATTTCACCTGTACAGGTACAAAAATTCTTATTATATATTTTTCGTTTTCTATCAGATTATGAATATTATTTTACATCATAAAGCAGTCGGAATAATTTCATAATAGCGTACTGATTCTCTTTGATCTCCTCCATTATATGTGAATAAAATGTGATGTAAAAAACATTGTAAATACATATAAAGAAACGAGTTTTCAAATTAATCCAAATATCTCAATAAAAAAGATAGTTCTGTACAAAAATTTCAAAATTTTGCAATTAAAGCCGTATATTTGGGAAATACAGGTTAGGAAGCTGGACATTTTTTGCCTCTCGTTCCCATTCGTGGCATCTCCAGCTTATTTTGGAAAGATATATTCAATCTATGTCCATTCCCAACACTCCGTATGTCCATAACAAGAGTTCTAATCGATCGGTTGCCGGCCCAGGCAACGGTAGCTTAGCAACCACCAGCTTCGTTCTATCTCTTCTTCTCATCGCCGAAATTCGCCGAACTAGCATCGTAAGGAGTCGGATTTGGTGAGGAGCGGGTATGCGACGGTCTGCAATGAAAGCTTCTTGCATATTTGTCTTAATTTTAATCTACCTGTCCACTTTGAATTCAAAAGCAGCGCTTGCAGAAGACGACGATTATCCAATAATTAACACAAAAAATGGTCGCGTTAAAGGAAAGATTCTGAAGTTGACGAACGGCCGAGAAGTAGCAGCGTTCCTGGGAATATTTTTCGCCGAACCCCCTGTTGGTCATTTAAGGTTCAAGGTAAGAGGTCATTAAACTGTCATGTGAGATGCACAATTTTGCGCGAACTGTTTCTGGTAAGTTAATTAATGCATCGTGTTCAAACAAAGTTCATTAATCTATAAACAGTTTAAAACATATGATGTGCAACTTGCCAAAAGGGATTACACTTCTTTTTCATACTAAAATTCTTATGATGAAAATATCAGGAAAAGTTGAATCAGTAAAATATTTAGCAGCATTTAAGCATTTTTCTTCTTATTTTCCTGATAAAAGATCAATGATTATTAAAAATTTGACTCAGCAGAATTTTTCAAATACTAAGCTAAATGGGTAAGTAACAGATCGATACTGCTCATATTAACACTTAATAATCAATTAAAGAACTTACATTTTTACAAGATAAAAAAATAAACACGTTTTAGTGGAAACATTTTTTAAATTTAGCCATTAACAAACACTTTTATGAAAATATAACTGAAAAAGAATGTATTTATTTAAAAAAAGTTTTCTTTAGAATGAGTCACAAAAAAATCATTTTGTTCTGTTGATAGTAGTGATATTTCATAGTTAAAAAAAAAATCTGAACGTTTTCAGATTTTAATAGTCGCTTAAAAGAATTTGTTAAAGTTTTTTACCCTCTCTTTGAGCTCGCAAGTCTACCAGTCTGCTTATTAACCCTCTTTTTTCGTGAGTGTGATCAATAACACAGCAACAAAATGCGCAATAATAAAATCACAAGATCTTTAAAACGTGCATAGCAACATATGTTTAGATTTCCCGATGCAGTGTTAAGCTTTGGCATACATTTTTATATTTTTCTCAGTCTTTTCTCAGTTCATCATATCAATATTCAGTTTCTTAGTATGATGGCTAACAAAAGTTTATTGTTATTAACTTTTTATGTGCTAACTTTATTTATTAAATACAGTTCTTGGCAATTACTTAAAATAAAATTACAAAACAGTTAAAAGCAGAATATTTTTAGACTTCCCGATAGAGTGTTAGAGGATGCCATACATATTTTCATATTCGCTATATTATTTCTTTAAAAACTAGTCGCTCAGGCCTACAGGCGTCTAAAATAGACATCATAAAAAAGAAAAAGTATGTAAAAAAACTGAAAGCTTTCAAATTTTATATTACGCCTAAAGAGGCGTATTTTTAACATTTTGTGTGTTACCTTTATTTATTAAATATCAGGCTCTTCTCACTTAAACTACATAAATTTCAATTCAACAGCAATATCACAAAATATTTAAAAACAGCGTATCTTAAGAATTTCCGATAGCCAGTCTAGCGCAAAGATAAAAATGCTTTTGTCCGTACAGAATCGTTGAGTTTGATAATCAGAAATTGTTTAAAGTTTTTTAAAAAATATGAAATAGATAATAAAACAAATTCGAAATTTTAACTTCAGGCTTCCAGGTGCCCATGTTCGGGTGGAGGATCACGTTATTTAAAATTTGAGAGCTTTAAGTACCGTCGTTTTTTTTTTTTTTTTTTTTTTTTTTCCCCAATGCGAGAAACATACATGAACTCATGCAGATTCTTCATTGTTTAATCCTTTAAATATAATAAGGACGATAATATTTGGTGGCAACAATTTAAAAATTATACATCGTTCATAGTGAACCGACGCAAAATGCCGTAATAGCCCTTCTGAGCTAGTGCTCCTTTGGGCTGATAATGATTTTAACGAGTACATCTAGTGTAGCTTCATAAAAATATTGAATATCATGATTTTAATGTATTTTATCACCGGCACATTGCTTTTATTACTTTTACACATTACTTTTACAGAGGAGTTTGATAACTAAAATTGAAATATTTTTAGGAAAGGCAACAGTCTCACGCATTGGAGATAAAAATGTTTTATTTCAAAAAATGTTGCCACTGTTTGCTTTCAAATCGTTGAGTTTGTTAATCAAAAATTCAGTAAAGTTTTACAAATTATGAAATAGAAATTAATGAACCACATTCGAAATTAAAAAATGAGAGCTTCCAGGCACCTTCGGTGGAGATCTACGTTATTCAAAATTTGATGGTTATAGGTGTCGTAGATTTGACACAATGGGAGGAATATAATGCAGGTTCTTCGTTATTTAATTTCTTTAAAATAATGCAGGGTGATATTATTTGGTGGCAACGATTGGAGAAGTGCTACTCTTTATACTGAAGCAACGCGAAATCCTGATTCTAGACTAATAGCTCCTTTTGGGCTTTTTTTTAAAAAAAAAAAAAAAAAAAAAATGAAAAAAAGATTTTTTTTTTTTTTTTTTTTTTAAATTCTGAGCATAAATTATTACGCCTAAAGAGGAGTTTCTTTTTTTTTTCTTTTTCTTTTTTTTCTTTTTTTTTTTTTTTTTTTTTTTTTCTTTTTTTTTTTTTTCTTTTTTCTTTTTTTTTTTTTTTGTTTTTTTTTTTTTTTTTTTTCCATTTACACATATATACACGTTTCTAGAACATTTGGGATAAAAGTATTTAAAAACGGCATATCTTTAGAATTTACGATAAAATCTCGCGCGCTGGAAATAAAAATGTTTTATTCCGCACAATGTGTTGCCATTGCTTGCTTTGACATCGTCGAATTTCTTAATAAAACATTCTTTAAAGCTTAAAAAAATACGAAATAGATCATAAAAAAATTCGAAAATCGAGATTGGGCCTTCGAGGTGCCCATGTTGGGGTGGAGGACTACGTTATTCAGAATTTGATGGAATCCTTTTTTTCGCAGCGCGAGAAAACATGCATACATTCGTGCAGACTCTTCATTATTTAATTTCTTTAAATATAGTACAGGCCGATAATATTTGGTGGCAACAATTTAAAAAATGATACAGTCGTTTATATTCGACGCAAAATGCCGTTTCGAGAATAATAGCCCTTCTGGGCTAACGCCTCTTCGGGCTAAAAAATGCCGATTAAATAATCAAATAAAAGCTGTCTTTTTATTTGAAATAAGTTAAAGTATGTTCCGAAACTTTGCTACGAATTTAACCAAACTACGATAACCTTGAGTTCTTGAACTAGGCGAAATATGCAATTTCCCTTAGATTTTGAAACTGAATATTTCATACATTCAAGTGTTGCAGTTTTATATCTAATAATAAAAAAAAATAATGACGTTATTCATTGAAAAGTTAGTAAAATAGGAAGAAGTAACGTATTAAATGATAAAAAATCCACAGTATTAATAAAAACAAATTTATTAATTTACTTTCCACTTTTCGCAGACCTTACAATTCAAGCCAACAAGGTGAAAACATGCTTATGAATTTTCTTACATGCTGAGTTTAAATACTCTCGAAAAGAAATTTTCGGAAAGTTTTTAGTCGACTTTTAGTTTAGAGAATTTATTGTGGAATGTTGAATTTACAACTTAAGAATAAAATTGTTCTAAAATGTTGATATTTGCCACGAAGTAAATAAAAAGTACACCTCATTGTGTGTGGGAAGTGGCCGAGTGGTTAAGAACTCTGATTATGAGTATTATTATTATTATTATGATTATGGGTTTTGTTCAGATTTCGAACCCAAGAGAACGGCTGGCTGCGTGAGTGCACGTGGCTTTTTCCCAAGCAAAACGTGAATACCAGCTAATTTCCCTCAAAACGTTCTCTATGAAGTCAACCTCTTAGGCAGATTAGCTTCGTGAGTCATTAATTATATTCGTGACTTCGTGAGAACGTTTTGAGGCATGCTCATGTACTTTTGAAATCTAATTTTTAAGAATGCCATGAATAATTTGAATTTGTAGAATTTTTTGTTGGATAATTCTTAAAATAAATGAATATTTTCTGTTTTGCTTGTATGAGGCCTCTGTGTATAACACGACAGCGTGGTTACAGCACTTTGACTTATTTTTTCGTAGATAATATTATTATACTGTTTAGTGAAACTGTTATTAAATTCTGTAATTAAAGTTTTAATTTTTTAAGTAATTTAAAGTTTAAATTACTTTTATTAGAAATTTAAGTTTGAACATTTTTCTCTTTCTAATTTCCACATTCTACATCCTGAAAGTAAAAAAGATAAGCTTCGAATGTGAAAATGGTAATTATTTAACTGTTTAAATTGTTAGCTCAAGATAGGAAGAAAGATTATTAAGAGTTATACAGATAGTGAGAAAAGGTATCAAGTTAAAGTATAACTCCCTCATCAAAAGTTAATAGGGTAATAGTTTTAAATTAAACAAGCTAGAAATATAAAAATGGCACGGGAAATATATCCTGCAATGACTTATTGCATGTTACAAAGCATTCCTTTTAAAAATATGAAGAGTAATCACATGATTAATGAGATATGACGCAAACATTTACTCAAATAAATTAAATGAACAATTTTAACATGAATGTTATATAATGTTTAATATATATCGGCATCAGTGCAGACGGAACACAGTTAAAGAGTAGATTACGAGTTCGAGTTCAAGAAGTCTCACTTTCGACAGTTTGGAATCATTATTGTTAACAATGGAAGGTTCTGGTTTCTAAGAAGGCATCAGAAAAACTAAAGCAGATCATAAATGAATCAATCATAATTATTAATTTCATTAGAGCTAATTACAAAATTCCGGACTTTTTGTACAACTTGCTGAGATAAAGAATAATGAATGGCGTCAATTTTTCTGTCATGTGAAGTTCGCTGGATATCTTAAGGAAAAGTTTTTGCTTCATTTCTGGGAATGAAGAGATGAAATAAAATTTAATAAATTGTAGAGCAGAAAATCAAAAAACAAGGACCGGAAAAAAAAAAAAAAAAAAAAAAAAAAAAAAACTTTCTTCCCTCGTTTTTGAAGTTGAAACTGCCGGTGGAACTTTTTTTGCTTCTCCGAAGTCTGAACTTGTTCCCTTGTCGGCGTAGTATAGAAAATAGTGATTACGCAGTTGACTTCTGGAAAGCACCATGGTATATGAATATGCAATCCACTCTGAGTTATAATTTATATATTTTTAATCGTTTTAACCGTATTATGTTCAAAAGTAAATATTTTAAAAAATACTTGTGAAGTCTTTATA